TCATCATCCCTCTCTGGAGCTTCCCAGGATCCTGCCGGCGAAGATGTGCTGCTGCCGCGTCCGATGCGTGTCTCCCGTGAGAGCTTCTGGTAGATCAAAGGCAATAAAATGAAGCGAGATGCCCATGAGAACGTCAGGCAGAGAGCTGGGTATATAAAAGGCCTTTTGAAAGGAATCCGTTATGGACAGAGAGCCTTTCGGGCGAAGGGGCTGCTGTTTTTGCTTCTCAGTTGCAGAGATAAAGGGAGCCAGCAAGGAGTATTGTATCCCAGAGGATTCTTCAGTGGCTTTTTTGGTATTATTCTTCTTTCCCCTTGCGCACCGTGAAGGGCTGACCTTTTCCCGTGGCACGGGAGTCTCTGCCACTCAAGCCTCTGCTCCAGCTGCGAGGAAGAGGTCTCTCTGCCCCTCCGTCTGTGCAGCCGCTTCTCTGTGAATGGAAGATACATCTTTTTGCTGAAACTCTTTTGTTGTGACATTGCATAATAGATAGTTATCTCGCTGCAGGAAATAAAAAAACAAAAGGAAGTCAAGAGATGGAAGGAAATTTTTCCCAAAAGCAAAACTGAAGTGGGGAAGAGAACATTAAAATTACTTCAAACCCTACCTAAGATCTAGAAGACCACAAATCTCCTAGCTCCAGAGGAAAATACACTATTTTCTATAAAAACTCCTCAGTAGTGAGTAACAATGTGCAGTCGTGGTGTTTCATCTGGATGCAGCTGGTAAAGGAAAGCTTTGGAGGGACGTGGGGGCTCCGGCCTGTACGATGCCTGAAGACAGAAATGCTGGAGTCCGCAGCCCGGGTGCCTTAGCAGCAGCTCCGTTCATTCCTAAAACTACTTATAGGAGAATTAAGCGATGTTTTAGTTTCCGTAAAGGTAGGTCCATTCTGTCACTGTGTTCTGCTTTGCTAGTGAAGTCATGGTTTCTGAGAAGTCAAGGGGGCTGGGTGTGTTCAGGGGTAGATGCGGGTACCAAAACAAAAGGCATTAAACAATGCAGATGCCAACATTCCACAAATGATTTATTTACTACTTTGGTCGTTTGTTTGTAGCTAGCCATCTGATACTGTCTCCTCTACATAATTGCCCGTGAATGAGCTGTCTCAATGAGGTGGCTTGAGACAAGATTTTTGCAGAGCCTCTGAGCAAAAATCGTTGAGAGCAGGGGAGGAATCAGACCTGCGGTGCTCTGAGTTGCAAATTTGTCTGGCAAAATATCAGGGAAAAGACTAGGTTTGCATTTTGTCTGTGGGGGAGGAGGGGGAAGAAGAGAGGGAACAAAGCAATGTGATAAATGTGCATCTGTGCAGAAGACCAAGTCCTTGGATTCAGAGATTTCTGGTGAATTAAGTGTAACCCTACAGTGCACCGTCCTCTTCAAGTGCTGCATTGCCACTTAGTTGTGCTGCTCTGCAGCCTGCGTTTGCCTTCCCACCTGCTGCATAGATATGTTGAAGCCAGTTTTCCTCTGCATTGCACATAGTCCTGTGGAAGGAGAGCACGGCAGTACTGGGGGGAGGAGGGCAAAGAGGGTGCTGGCTTTCAAAGTACGTCAGCTGGAAGTGAGACATGTCTGGGAGAGATACGGCAACTGGTGATAGCGTGGCATGGTGCTAGGGATGGGTAGGGAGAAGCCATCTCTATGGTGAGGACAAAAGCTTTGCGTGGAGAAAGCATTAGTATTAGTTTTAGTGCTGCCTTACAAAATGTGCTGGACAGAGGAATCCCAATGAAAGGACTAAATTGTCATGTTGTTCTGAAGTGTGAGAAGTGGTCTTATACAGGGCTTATACAAATGCAGTCATCTTCATCTCCTGTTCCTCCATGCTGCCATTTGTCCTTTTGCACGGCCATGCAGCTCTCTGCTCACAAGACGTGGTAGTGGTGTAGTGGTGTCATCGCTTTTGGGGGTTGTGTGCACAGATGTTTCACGGGGTCACCCCTGACTAAGGGATCACAACCAGCGAGGGTCTCAGCTGATATCTGCTGCAGTTCTGTGATATCATGGGCAGCTGAGATACCATTGAAAGCAGTTGGCTCCCTGTTCCTCCCTGCCCTGAGGCCAGTGTTTCCCTCGGTTGCTGGAGTACAGTCCTCCTGGAGACTGGCCAGGAGGACATAGATGTATCTGTATGAAGTGCGCTGGTGTATTTCAAGGTGTTGGTGTGAACTGGAGCTGTCTGTGCCTCATTTCTATGCTTAACTATTGGAGAAGTGTTTGGAAGTTGATAATTAAATTCTTTAATAATTAAATGATAATTTTGGAGACAGCTGCATTTGCGTCTGGGGTGCTGCCTTAGCTGCACCAAGAAGAGCTGATTCTTCTCTCGTATTCTCACTTTCCCAGGGAGGTGATGGAGTCATCATCCCTGGAGGTGTTCAAAAAACAAGTAGATGTAGCACTGGAGCCTGTGGTCTAGTGGTTAGGGAAATGTTGGGATGGAGGTTGGACTTGATGATCCTAGAGGTCCTTTCCAACTATAGTGATTCTATGAGTCTGTGTTCTGACACAAATTCTTCATGTCTAAAACTCCAAGTGAAGCTGCAATGCTTGGGGCAGAGGATAGAATGATGGAAGCCATGCTGCTAATTTACTTTCCTCTACATATCCTTTGTTTTAGTTGCTTTTTTATACACATTTTCTATTGAGTATTGTCACGAGACCCCCCCCCCCCCCCCCAGAGCCGAGCTGCAGAATGCTGTGTACATCTTTAACTAGGTCCACGTTCCACTGGAGTCAACAGAAAGATGAACTTTAACTGGACTTTTCAGTCAAGCCTTTACTATGGTTGCACGGGCAAATTAGGCTAACTGCACTTGTCTTAACTGATTGGCATACTGAATTCTCGTAACTTAATTTGCATATTGTATACCTAACTATAAAAAATGGCAAAACTGGCCTGCAAATGTCTGCCGTACTTGCAAAGCCCAGATCTGTTAGTTCTAAGCTGTGCAGTGTGATGCAGAAAATAAAGTTAGCATGGAAAAACATGGGTTGGTCATTGGAAGAACTACAAGGGAATCATGACACTGTATGTTTAGGCAGTGATATATCATCTTCACCAATGATACAAGGTGTAGAACCCTTCTTGGAAATCCTGATCAAAGCTGCATTGTGATAGATGCTGGAAAATTAAATGTCAGACCTATATGGAGGTCATGTCATAGGAGAAGCTAGTGCTCAGAGGACAGCATCTGCACAGAAACAGAGCCAAATGTCTTCAAAATCCAGTTTTGAGAAAATGCTCTCTGTTTAAGTACTACCACAGGAACTTCCTGAGAGCACGTGCAGGATATGTGAAGAAAACACTAACTGAAGGTAACCTTGTTGGCATGCAGAGGTGAACACATTCAGTAGCATGGTGAATTTGAGTAAGCAGAGTTTGGGAGGAGACATGGCATTGGCCTTGGCTGAAGAAATGCTCCATACCCTGATGTGATCAACTGTGATATGCTGTCAGTGGAATTTTTAAAACTGCCTCCCTTCCTTTCCAGCCTGTAGCTAGTTCTACTCTTATTTCAGAGTCGTTTTTTTCTAAGCAGTAACTTCTGGTGTGCAGCTGTGCTGAACTGTAGGGCAGGAGTTTATTTTACCTCATATACTGCTGGCATCACACTGACTGTGGGATAGGAGAAGGCTTGAAGAAAGAAAATTAGTCAAACAGGAACAAAATTCTGCCACTGCTATTTTTGATAGGATTTTTTCCTCTCCTGTACATTGTAAAATTCTGTAGAGGGAAAGAAAGTACTCCCTGCCTTTGATCCACTTAAAACAGCTGGGGAACACTGGAGTAGAAAGGTGGTAAGAAATAATAACTTAAGACTCCATATTAAGTGTTGTGTGGCCATAACAGCTACTTCTTTGTGTTATTCCAGGAGCATTGTTTCCAGCCCTGCTGTTGAAAGCCATTCACCTCAACTGTTATTTTCACTGTCAGTAAATTACTGATGTAGGATTGAGAGCTGCTTAAAATTCTCATCCAGATCCTAGGCTGAGCTCAATTCCTTTGACCTTAATTGCCCCTTTCTGATCCGTATAGCCCATAAACTCAGATCTTGTTTTGGAAAGACTGAGGTCTTCTGCTCTAAATTGAGAGAACACATGTACAGTCATAGGCTCTGTATTGAAAGCATCAGCCTTTTGTGCTTTATGCTATCTGAAAATTATGCTACCATCTGAATTACTGCAGGGTGGCTTGGGAAAGGCAGAAACCTTCTGGCTCGCTGAGTGTATATCCTGTGGTAGAACTAGAGCAGCAGGTGGGCTTTTTCAAGCTGTTCCTTGTAGAACAAGGAAACAGAACTGCTGCCTACATCTTTCTCCTTTTTCCTTCCTGAATCAGAATCTTGGAGTCAATGCTCTTGAGATGTGACCCCTGCCTGTGTTCAGTAGCTAAGGAAATCATTGACGAAAAGCATTCTCAGATTTAAATACCACACTCTGTCAATATGTGCCGTTGGAAATACCACAGTACTTTCACAACTCTTCAGTAGACATATGCAGAATCTGGATATAGCACTGTCTTTCATAAACTTTATGGGCATCTGTGAGGCTTGGAAATCTAGTTTCTCAAAATGTTGACAAAACTTCTGCCACGGGAATGTTCTAAGTTAATGAATAACCACTTGGCATACCCTTCACTAGCATGTGATTTTTGTCTTTGATGTTACGCGTGATCTTGGCTTAATTGGATATAACTAAAGACCTACAAGGGCCTCTCTGAAAATGCAGTTTTGCTGATTAAATCTAATGACTGGTCGGAACTGGAATCCTGTAGATTACCCTGCTTTCTACCAGCTCTGAAGAAGTCAAGCTGCTACCATCCTAAATCTCAAGGGTGGTGTTGTTTTGTTTGTTTCTGCTTTGGTACCCTGTCCCAAAGATCAAGCAAACCACAGGTCAGCACTGGAGAACTTGCGTTTGCATTGCAACATGAGTTATGAGGGCTCTTTTTATTTCCTTCTCCACAGAGGCATTCTTGTTGAGTTACTGTAGTGGAAATTTACTTTTAAAAAACAGCATGTGAAATTCTCTCTTTTTTTTCTTTTTTTTTTGTTGTTGTCTCCATAACTTGGGCTGCCTTTTCCTTGCTTCTTTGTAAAGGAGATCCTAGCAGTTACCTGGTATAGCTGATAGCATTCACTGTTGTGTGCTGATGTCAACCCCCAAGGTAGCTGTGTGTTTGCAGCCACAGTTCTTCACAGTATTGCCTTTACTTCATAACAATCAAAGTCTAATCTCCGTGAACTATTAATATGCAATATCTCTGTAGTAGTTAGTTGCAACATAAGAGAGGATAACAGCATTAGAAAGGGACAGTGGAAGAAGGTGCACCTTACAGGGTAATGATCATGGCTTTTATTCCAAAACACTGAAAAACCCAACAGACACCAGAAAGATGATGAACAAAGTAAAAGTTATGACAACATGATGTTGAAGTAGAATTGTCATGTTTCTGCAACTTCTGTCTCTAGCAACAGAGTACTTTTTCCATAAGGCATTGTCAGTAAGCCTGTAACTTCAAGTTCATATTTATGCAGGCTTACCATGACTGATTCCTTTCATGGCCAAGTGCTGCCTGGTACAGATTTTTGCATGTTGGATGAAGGAAGTACTTCCTTTAGAGAAATTCAGCCTAGACTTTGAAAACAAACCAAGCCTGCCTGAGATGTATTCCAAAGCAAAGCAAATTGGAGAATGCAGAGTGTAGTAAATGGTGACTTCAGATGCATTTTAAGGTGAGGCATGATGCTTTTCCATAAGACCTGGGTCTTAACTTTAGGTTATTACATGGTTGTCAGAATTACCACACTAGCTATGAGCTTCCTGAAGTTCAGTGTGGAGATCATTGTGCCTGTGAGGTAGATATGGTATTATCACCATTCCCACTGCCACCTCACTTCAGCCACAATAGTATTCAGCAAATGGTGATCTCAAGAGCTTCCATTAGTGTCATACTGCCTGTGATGGTTGGCACTGCAGTTTGAAAGTGAGAGGCAAAACAAGTTCTGAAGAGCAGCTACATTTCTAGTAATAGTGATGACATCCTCGTTGTGGAAGTTAACTCTGTCAAAAAACCTCTTGTGTTCTTCTGAGGTTAAGTATGAATGAAGATTCCTGCATTTTATCTGACGTGTTTCACCTTTCATGTCAGGTCTCTTTTCATACACACAATTTATTGTTGCTAAAGCAGACAGTGATAAAGCAATCGGTAATGCATTGTAGGAATGGCCTTTGTTTATGTGGGAAAACTTAATAATTTGATTTAGTAGGAGTAATGTTATTTATAAATCTTTTGCCCTTCATCTGTAAAAGTAATGCCTACATGCTATTGAAACTGATACAGCACCTACTTATTTTTTATAGATAATTAGGCATGAACGAAGGAAGATAGAGATGTGAATTGTTTCTGAATCAGAAGTTTTGTGATGGAAAATGCCATTTGTATTACTTCTGTGTTTTCTGTGCTTACGGTCTGAAAAATCATTTACAGTATTTTAAATAATGTTTTTGAGCGTTGTAAAATACATCAGCATTGTCTTTCCATGAGAGTGTCAGAGGTGAGATCGAGCATTTTATTCTTAAGAAAGGAGAAGTTTAATCGTCCGTTTAAACGACCTTTAAATTGTGTGGCTTGTACTAGAAGACACAGGGTTCTCAAGTGTTTTTATGAATCTCAGGCAAGTCGCGTCTCTGTTTTTCATGCAGGTATTTTTGGCCAGAAGCTGGAAGATACTGTGCGGTATGAAAAGCGGTATGGAAACCGCCTGGCTCCCATGCTGGTGGAGCAGTGTGTGGATTTTATCCGGCAGCGGGGGCTGAAGGAAGAAGGCCTTTTTCGACTGCCTGGGCAGGCTAACCTTGTCAAGGAGTTACAGGATGCATTTGACTGTGGAGAGAAGCCTTCTTTTGACAGGTAAGATCCTCCAGCTGTCCCTCACTCCCAGAAGCGTAGACAAGACAGGCTTTGCTGTACTGTCTGGCCCACAGTGCTGTACGACACTTGGCAGCAGCAGGCAGGGTGACATGTTTTTGTAGGTTTTTCTGTATGTTTCCTATTATCACTCTAAAATGTCTTGGATTTTTTCTGACTTTGATGTCAGATTTCAAAGCATTTCCGGAGGTTTTCCATTTATGGAGAGCTGGTTAGGAACAGTATTGCTAATGGTTTGACTTAATGAAAAATATTTTGATTGCCTTGATCTTAGTGTCATGTAAAATACAGTGGTGATGCTGGCATTTAGTCAGTTCTATAAGGAAAGAATCTCTCTTATGGCCAAGTTCAGTATGCTCTGTTACCTATAAAACTTATTGGAAAGGAAATGTGCTTTCCTGTATTCCTTTGTTATGTTGGGTCTTTGGCCTTAAAATAACAGGTGCTGTGACTGTAATAACAAACGTATGCGGTTTTGAGGGTCCAGGTCCAATTTGTATTCCAATATTTATACAGTCTTGCAAAGCTAATGAGATTTCTCTGTGCCAGGGAAGAACTCAGTCCCGTTTCCACAGTTGTTTGTGACTTCAGTGTTTTCTAAGGGTTTTTTTTTTTTGTGCAAGTTCAGCTCTTGCCCTGTAATCATTGGCAGCACTAGCCCACGTATTCAGAGTGCACAATCAGACAAAGAGAACCAGTGGGCTATGAATGCCACGGTGCCTTTTTAACTCTGATTAAAATTACTACAATGGTAACGAAATTCTAGTTCAAGAGTGTTAAACAGTAGTTGTCCTCCATGTGTGTCCTAAGTAACCTCCAAAATGGAGTTGGGGTGCTTCACTCCACTTGAGGGTCTAATGTGAGTTATGAGGAAGAGGCAGGTTACATTTGTTTTGTGTGACCTTTGACTGACAGCGGTGCAAGTGATGAGAAGGAAAGCATAGCTTGAAATATTACTGTAAAAAGATGCCTTGATACAAACCTGACTGCTGGAAATTATTTACCCCCCTCCCTTCCCTATTTCTATGAAGTGAGCAAATTTGCTACATCTGATGGTTCGTGTGTTGCAGATGCACATAAGGCAGACATCTGTAATGCTGTTTTATCTGCAACAGTTTCCTCTCTCCTCACCCTCACTTTAAAAAATATCCAGAATATATAATGCTCTGGAAAAGGGGATTGTCTTCCTATGGGGTTTATTAGTTTCTCTTTGGAAGGTGAGAGTTAAGATAATTTAACAGAAAATAGCTTTAAGGAGTCAGAGGCCTGTGGGAAGTGACAGTGTTAGCTGGTGAATGTTTGTAGCGTACTCACTGTTCAAATACTGTAAAACTTATGTAAAAATGGCAAAGAAGCATCCACATGTTTTCCCTACTTGGACATGAAATACTACTGATCATGTCTGTCACAACCTCTACCAGAGATAAAAGCAGGCAAATAGCAGAAAGAAAAGGTGTTTTTTTCCATGCCTGTAGGCCAAATAATTGTGGAGGAAATGCCTAAGAAAACAAGCCACCTTCGAACTCAAGGAAGATGGTGTCCTGAAACACCCACTGAGAGGGTGGCTTGAAAGAGGTGCACACATTCTATGTGGCTCAGCCATGTAATTGTTTTTGTACAGGTTAACTAGCAACACCTGTAGCACACACTAATCAGCCCCAGGGACAGACGTGGTAGCTGAGCTTTAGCAGATGAAATGGAGAGCAGATTTTGTATGCTAGCACTGTGAAGAAGACACATAATCTCTACTAGAGCAAGTAGAAACACCAGCGGGACTTGCCTCTAGATCGCTGGTCCTGCAGTTCTGCTTCTGAAGCTGAGAATTTATAGAACACAGACCTTGTATGCCTGCATGTCTCATTGCAAAGGGTACTTTTTCTGTTTGCTTTTTCACATTTGAGTTTGGAGAGGTATGATTTAGGTGTCCAGAAGTCGGCCAAACATAAATTCCGCTGTGATCTCTGCCATTGTTTCTATTGGGCATCTACTTTTTTCCTTCAACCTTTTGTTCCGTTTGTAAACTTTAGGTGAAGTTTATTTCAGAGTGTTTGTAGTGTGCCTACGTGGTTACCTTATTTTGGGGTAACTTTTTGTTCTGCTGAACAGCAGCATGGTCTCCAGGTTTGATGCAACCATTTGGCAAACTACGCTCTCAGAAACCAGCCACAATATGAAAAGTTGCTGTAGAGAAAATGAAAAAAAAATTGTTAAATATAACATATTATAGAAACATAATTATATTAGCTTAAGTATATGTTAACATATAAATAAATATTAAAAATTATATTATTACTAGTTAAAAGTCCAGTAGTGCAAAATCTACCTAGGATCTGTTTATTGATTTATATTTTGCCTCTTCTCATACATCAATAACAATAAAGACTTTTGCAGTTAGAACTGAGCTGATGGTTTTGTTGATGGGGCATGAAACACAATGGAATACAGGTCACGGCTTTCATGGCAGTACTGGATCACTGGTTCTGGCTGGGACAAAGACTAGCTGCTGTCATCACTGTTGGAACTAATACAAAGAGCTGGTGTTTGAGGAGTTTTCTATTTTTCATACTGACATTTTTTCTCTGTATAAGTGCATATAAATCAAACAAAGACTACTTTAGAACAAGTGAAGATGCTTTGAAATGTGTGTGTGTCTGCTTGTATATGTTTGTGTGAGAAATTATTATTAAAAGGGTTATTTAATAATTTTTATGCTTTCTTAGATAACTCAGTAAAATAAGTAGCTTGTAGAATTAAAAGCAAAAACAAAGGTACAATCGTATAGCCATGATTAGTACTCCTTTAAAATGTCATCTGTTTTAAAATGGTTGCTCCATCTTAAAACAACTTACAGCCTTTGGGAGATGGAGTTTAAAGCCTGAACTCTGCTCTTTTGCCAAGGCTTCAGCTGCTGCTCACATCTCTGTGGAGACTGCCCTTCTCCTCACTTGCGTGCCTATCCGCACACCTTTGGCAGAGAAGACCACAGAATGAATGCAGGCACAACAAATGTGGCACATTTGAAAGAGGAAGTAAAATAACTTTGCTCAAAAGAAATTACAGCCATGTTTTGAAACAAATATATTTGACAAATCCTAGATCTGGCATGAATAAGCAGCTGGATGTTCCGATACTGAAGTTGGTTATAAAAATGCAGAGTGAATCCAGGACAAATTGGAGACTGGTAAAAAGCCTCATATATTGATATAATGTTGATCTTACAGTTTGAAAAGATGCTGCTGAAAGACTGTGAGCTATGTCTATGAGAATTGAACGGGTATTTGAAATTTCTCAAACTCACAGAATGAGAAAACTCAGTGTATGATCTGAAACATCCATCATGCCACTCCCCCAAATATGAAAACTGGAATATCAGCATTTCTCAGTCTTGAAAAGGGGATTACAGGTGCTATAAATGAAAACTGCTTAGTCCTTCTCTGTGAAGAAAAAAAAAAAAAAAAAAAAAAAAAAAAACCAAAAACACTGCAAATGTCCGTTTAAAACAAAAAATCACTAAGTACCTCACTCTCTCCGTATGCATCTGCACATATTGTGAAATCTGCTTCAAGGAACTAACAGTTCAATTAGTTGCTCATGCTCGCTAGTATTTGAATTATCATTGGTATTGCCAGTACAGCTCCACTTCTGTGTAGCATTGTCCCCTCTGGGGAATCCACTTTGCTTGCCCTTGTGGTATATGCTTCTGTCTGCTTGTGTGGCTTACGTTTTAAGTTTAAAGTCCCTCAGCTCCTTTACAAATCATACATTTGTAATGACACAAAGTGGATTATGACTATTTGTTCTGCAAAATTAGCATAGTGAATATGGCACTGCATAAGGAAAATAACATAAGGGTTTGTTATGCAATTTCTACCTAAAACGGGTAAAAGATTGGATTTCTTGTTTTATATTACCCCTTTCCATCTACTGTTCGTTGCAATTGCTGCCAGATGACATGAGAGTTAAGATTGCTCAAGGAGAATGAAAACACTTGAAATGTCAATGAAATACATATTAATACTGATATGATTGATTGACAGATGTGGCTTTTGCTGGTGCATACAGTCCAGTAGTTTGGGAGAGTTTAAAGTTACATAGCTCACCTGCCTGTGTTTATGTGTATATATATGTCGTTACCGACACCCGATCCCCGGGATCTCTGCCACCCAACCTCTGCCGTTGGGTACCATCAGCAGACACAGGCTTCAATAGGAAGGATGCTGCAAATGGCCTTTATTGCGCAGCTGCAATTGCTTATATAGCACAAGCCACACCCACAAGGCCCCTCGTGGGCAGTCTGAGCTTTCCGTTACATCGCGAGATCTTCCGCACGCCGATCCCTGCCTAGGGTGGGCTCTGCTCACCACAACATATATATATGAGAGAAGGAAAGCATATAAAGGCATATTTAGCAAAACAAAATCCCTATGACTTTCTTTCATCTGTATGAATTCCTTTAATGAAGAATGCAGTACCTTATAGGACAAAATACTACTTACTTCTGTAGTCACCATTGCAATCAGGTGAGAAAAGGACATGTGAGTGGCAAGATGGCAAATGCTAACTATTATTACTGGAGGCAAATAATCCCGAATGTAGAACTGGCATGTTCGTGTGCATTTAATCACTGGGATTGTTGAAGCAAAGTAAGGCAATGATGGTACTAATATAGCCTCAAAGCAAGAAGGACCACATGCACAATTCTTATTCTCCAGAGGCAAAGAATGTTTTAAAATTTTGGTGAACGCAAGAAATTGGACGTGTCTCAGTGGGACTGCAGTCTGCACTAGCACTGTAAAGACTGCAACTCGGTGTTGACTTGGAAATCATTGGTTATGAAAATTATTCTTTTATTGTCCAAATACAAGCCTGTACATAAGAATTTGTTTAGAAGAAGCTATTTCCCCACAAGTAGCGGCCTTTATTCCCCTTCTAGTGGGAAGGTGCAGTAATCCCTAAACGAAACATTTTGATGTGCAATTAAG